GAAGGTGATAATATCCTAAAATTCGGTAACCACAAGAACCAAATGTCTGTGCCTTATATCATATCGCCGACTTTGAAGCCTTGGTTAAACCTGTTGATACTCCCAATGCTCTACCCACAGGTGAGAGCTTCACCCACAAAACACAAGAGCATGAAGCCTGTGGGTTTGGATACATTGTAGATCCGTTGTGATGGGAAGCGAAAGCTCCGTAGTGTATAGGGGCCCTGGCGGCGGCTGAAAGGTTTCTAAAGTGTTTGCAGGAGGAAGAAAAATTATTAGGAATGCACTGTATAGAGTCGGCTCCAATGCGTATGACCGAGCCGACAGGCTAGCTCACGCCTGTAGCACTAACTGTCACGTGTGTGACTCACCACTGAATGGTGATTCGGTGAGAGATCACTGCCACGTAACCGGTAAGTATATAAGCGCTGGCTCACAGCACGTGTAACCTCAAGCTTAGAATCAACCCTAAGACAATAAACATCCCGTTGTCTTTCACAACTTGAGAGGTGCGACTCTCACTTAATCATGCAGGCCATCGCGAAAATCGATGGTAATATAGCGTGCATTCCCAACAACATGGAGAGATACATCTCCTTCAGCTTAAGCGGCCTTAGGTTCATAGATTCAGTACAATTTCTCTTGTCTTCATTAGACAGTCTGGTCAAGGCCAGCGATACCTTCCCTATCACCGACCGATACACAGATACCGAGACTAGACCCCTGCTTATGAGGAAGGGTGTGTATCCCTATGAGTACATGGATAGTTGGGTCAAGTTCGCGAGACCAGACTACCCCCATCAGAAGAATTTTACAGCAATCTGACCGACTCAGAAATATCCCAAGATGATTACTCACCGCGCTATTAATGTATGGAATAAACTGGGTTGTAAGAACCTGGGGATTATCACGACCTGTACTTAGGACAGATGTACTGCTGTTAGCCCGGCGTGTTTGAGGCGTTTAGGCGGACATGTTTCAAGCAGTATAAACTTCGACCCGCGTATGGTATTACACCAGCCCAGGTCTGTCGTGGGATGCCTTGCTTAAAAGACGGAGTTAAGTTGGAATTGCTTACAGATTATGACATGCACCTATTCATTGAGAAAGGCTTGCGAGGTGGGATCTCCATGGCAACCAAGCGATGCAGCAAGCAAATAATCAATCACGTTAAGGGCTCACGACCCTAGCAAGCCAACCAATCACATTCTCTACCTCGGCGCCAACAACCTGTATGGCTGGGCCATGAGCCAGTATCTACCCACAGGGGTTTGAATGGGCGTCAAAGGAGGTCGATGTTATGAGCATCGCACCAGATTCGAATAAAGGTTATATCCTCGAGGTTGACTTGGAATACCCCAAGGCATTACACACATCACACAACAGCTACCCCTGGCCCCGAGCGTATGAGGGTTAGCCCAGACTGGATGTCTGAGTACCAACATAACTTGTTAGGTGGAAGTGTGACAGGCGTTGAAAAACTTCGTGCCCAACTTAATGAATAAGACCAAGTACATGCGTTCACTATCGCAACCTACAGCTGTACCTGTGGTTGGGTATGAGGCTGACCAAAATACACAGGGTGCTTTCGTGTTCACCCAGAGCCCCTGGATGGAACCTTACATCAGAATGAACACAGACCTCCGAGCTTGCCACCAGTGACTTTGAGAAAAATCTCTATAAGCTCATGAACAACTTCGGTGTTCGGTAAGACTATGGAGAACCTGAGGAAGCAGCGTGACCGTGAAGCTGGTTCGGTCGAATGAGGAAGACAAGCTCAGGAAACTGATAGCCAGTCCGGCATTCAACCGTAGCAAGATATTCACCGATGACCTAGTTGCCCTACACATGAAGAAAAGCCACATAAAATTCAACCGGCCTGTTTACGTGGGGATGAGCATCCTCGATTTATCAAACACCTGATGTCGACTTTTACTACAGCGAGCTTAAGAAACAGTACGACGACAGGTGTGAAGTGCTGTACACTGACCGCGGATTCCCTGCTGATGGAGATTCGAACCGAGGGCGTGTACGAGGACATGAAAAAACACCTCGATTTGTATGACACCAGCGACTACCCCAAGGACCATGCCATACACAGTACGGTAAATAAAAAGGTCCTAGGTAAGATGAAGGATGAGTGTGCTGGCACGCCCATAGCTGAGTACATAGGGTTGAGGCCTAAGATGTACTCCATACTGAAGGCCGACAATGGTGAAATCCGGAAGGCTAAGGGTGTTAAGAAGTATGTGGTGAAACAACACATCAAACCGCGCCAGATTCAAGGAAGCACTGTTCAAGACCGTACCTTTAGGCATAAAATGAACACACTTAGAAGTGATGGCCATAAGATATCTGGACTGACTATAAACAAGACATCCCTGTAAGCCTATGGACACTAAGCGTTGGATAGCTATTGATGGGATAAACGCGTGCAGCGTATGGACATGAGAAAATTGAACATGTCACGGAACCAGAGAAAGTTTGAGGCTATTTACTACAGCCAGCGTGGGTACTGGAAAGGAGCTAGCGCCCTGTACATAAGCTGGCTAAAATGGCGAGTACCCCGGAGGAGGCCAAAGCGTGGCTTGAAAAACAAGCCCTGTGGCAGATCTATTTGCGGCACCACGCTCGTGCCTAGAAGGAGGTTCGGTATTAACATACCTAATAAGCGTTCACCAGGCAGACCTACTGTTCCTACCCATGACAAGAGGTACAAGTATGCCTTAACCGTAGTGGGCGTAGCCAGTCGCTACAAAGGAAGCCGAGCCCTTGACCCATGAAAGATTATTTGGTAGCCAGAGGATTGAGCATATACAAAAAGCGCCAGTCGCTGGCGTGGCCAACAGAGCTGCAAGTTGACCCGGACGGGGAGTTCATGGGTGGCGATGTCACAACTGCTAATAAACCGCGATACAAAGGTCAGGCGTGTAGCGCGGCTGGAGCCCATCGCCAGCCAAGCCATAGTTGAGAGATTTAATAGGACTTTGGCTGGCTTATTGGGACATCAGTATGCTAGGGAGATGGCAACCCGGGGAAAAGCGATCGACTGAATGGGTGTGAGGTTACCCAAGGTGGTGTCGGCAATCAACCATGAAGTCACCGGCTCACTGATAAGAAACCGGCAGGCGCTATCAAACTAAAATCAATAGTTGCAGAGCCGGCTGCTCCATTGCGTGGGAAGGAGAAACAGATACCAGATAGGGCCCTAGTGAGGTATCTATACCAGCGAGGGAACACGAGGGTGATAGCCGTGGCGAGCCACCGATCCTATATGGTCAGTCAAAACTTACAACATAGATAAAGTGGACATCAAAGCAGGCGAGCCTAACTTGTACTACTTGAGGGATGGGCCAGGTAGGGGTTTGTGAGAGAAGAAATTATTGATCGTACCGTGCGGTACAGTGTTACCTCCAGCATAGCGGTGTCCGTTACTTCCCCATGCCCGGTAGCGGCTAGGAGGTGCGTTCGCATCCCCAACTTTTGTAGTAGGGGTAATGGCAGCAAGAGCTAAGGGTCCGACCAAAGCCTTACTTGTGAAATAAGGCTTTGCAGAGGCTTTGGTTGAAAGTGATCAGAACCGCTATCGGCCCAAACTTTTTTCATAGTAGGGAAATGGTAGCAAGAGCTAAGGGCCGACAAAGCCTTATTTACCAAATAAGGCTTTGCAGAAACTTTGGTTGAAAGTGATCCAGAACCCCCATTGTATATACTACTTAGAGTGAGCTACAGCTTACGGAGAGATGATTGACAGTTGCTGATGTCGGAGTGGGGCCAGAGGTCAGGGCGGGTCAGAGGCCAGCAAGATTTGATTCAACTTAGCCTACAGCACGTTTCCACACATGGTCGTAGAAGAAGAGGAGAGGTGCATACCATGAGATAGGATAAGTATATAAATATACAATTTATAGTAAAATTTTCAATTCTTTCTAAATGATAAAAGTATTTTACTTCTGGTAATTTACGAAGTGTATATAAGGCAGGGCTCCGGATAACTTTTGGGTGTGTGAGTGTACTTACACATCATATTTCAAGTGGAGGTGTACTGAGGAGTACTGACATGTTTTTGTGTAAGCGAGTTGGTGATGTGGTTTGTCTGGACGATTCATCGATCACTATTTCAAACCATGTGTTTGTATTTGAAGACATGCGAGAAATAACTAAGCAACTGTGTGATGCGCGAAATGTCAGGTCCGACTGGATATAAATAGGAACAGTGTAGTTTTTATCCAATCGAAAAATAGTGACGTATATCGTTGCATGGCAACGCAAGTGATTCCTACTGTCGGGGTTTCCTCATGTGTCAAATTGTGTTTCGCAAAAGAAACTTGACAAGTATTTATCCGAAATAGATTTCCATTTGCACGATACGCACAGAAATTCAATGTTAGACGTACAAAGGTATTTATGTGCGTTCACGATACGCCTGAAAACTTATATTATATCGTACTTAATTGATTTTGAGGAAAACATTACGCCTGTACAGCCCTTATCTGTAGCCCTGTATTAGGCACAATATAATCTAAAAAATATTTCTTGTAAGTTTACATTTTTGGCCAATGAAAACATTAGCATTTTAGTTTTTGAGCAGGGAAAGTTAATTTTTATTTTTTTTCTTATTCTTGAAAAAATATGACAGGCAGATCCATGAAGCAAGAAATAAAATTTCTTAACAGTTTCACTCAGTAAAAGTTCCAGTCATTAAATTCTGTATATCCAGGTGCTCACGTCTGGGTGTTACAATTAATCAATCATTTACATGTCTTCATTTGATAACAATTCTTAGAATTGAAAGAACCATTCCGAGACTTGGGTATCCGACATTTTGAGTGTGCGTCAAGTCAGTCGCGGCATATTCATCTTTGTTCAGGTGTATATCTTAAATGTTCATTGAAACATAACAGAAACCATATACAGACATAATCTGAGTGAAAGTATAAAAACAATATCTCCTGACTGACTGTTTTCTCTGTTACTGTAAGACAATATGTAGTACTCACTTTCTACGTCTGCCATCTTGTCACAGTATTCAGTGCCTGTTCCGATCATGAGTCGGGTGTTTCCAGTCACGTGTGTGACATGACGTCATTTAGAATGTTCCAGAACATTTCATTACTGGTAGCCAGAGTTACATCATACCATTGTTTTATGTTTTTTGTTTCTTTTTGTTCTTTTGGCAAGGGTATTGAATGAAATGTTATTCACTGGGGTGCCTCCCGCTGGGAAGTTTTTGAACCAATTGGTAGACATTCTGGAAGTACCTGAAGTCTTTCACATATAGCATGCAGCAGTGCATGTCCTAGATCAATAAGGATTGTGCAGTCATTTGTGCATTAACTGTTTCAACACTAGTCAACCAAAAGCTTTTACCGAGTTTAATGATCTCCTCGAAACATCATTACTTTGCTCTTTGACAACTTAGATCGGGACCCATTGTGTCCAAGAAAAGTTCAGACATTTTTAGAAGTTATAGTATTAATAAATGAATCATATGTCGGGTGGGTTCCAGATATTATGTATCATTTTGATTTGACTACTCTAGTGTTGAATGGGTTAATCACTTCAGTAGGGTCTATTGTTCATTTTATCAATAATTAAAATGCTATCAGGACATGGAAGTATGGAAGCCAAGAAGGGTTATGAATTCTACATAGTACAGGTACTTTTGATGAATTCCCTTTTGCTAATGAATTCGTCAAAATTGTAACCTTGTTTTAATGTTGTTATGTTAAAAAGGAATCTGCAAAGTTCAACTAATTTTCCTGGTGAACCCTCTCCCAACTAGTAGGAGCCCCGATCCCCGACTGTCTGTAATCACTGAGCCGTAGCATGTCGCGTGACCTTTTCTAAAGCATTATTGTAATGCCAAATGTACATAAGTGTGGTGTCAGTTTTCGTACCTCATCTATACTCACACGCAGAAGTAACACAAGTCAAGTATAATGTATATATGTAGTCTATGTAATTTGCAACATAAAATACAAGGAATACAAACAGGGTCAAATAGCCGAAAATTGAGTGAAGAAATTTCATTGGCTACCAAGACTGATGACATCATTAAGTTTTCGAAAGGCAAAGGGGTTGATAAGAACGGATCTCGCTGGTGTTGACGGGTAATGTCCCAATTTTGTCGAGGGGTGGTGACCCTAGGACGACTGTTCCAAGGATGTCATCTGTGGTCTATTTAGTGTTATATTGATGCTGAAGGTGGTAAATCGTGGTTATGTTTACGTCGAAACGACGGGCAACATCTTGGACAGACTCTCTAACTTTCAAACGTCCGATTGCCTGGTTTCTTTCAATCTGACTTAAGCACGGCACTGGTGAACATAGAGTGATAGACCCAATTTTTTGTGTCTTAAAAAAACCCCTTGCATTTCTTATGCGTGTGAGTATATATTGTGTTTGAACTGTGTACTATGTGTAGGATAAATCACAACTCCGAAGTTATGGTTGGGAAAGTAAGACCAGTGCTCTTAGTCTTACTTCACTCCACCCGATGGGCTTACTTTCCCAACCATAACCTCGGAGTCGTGCTTTATTATACATATAAACTGTCAAAATGGATAATTAGATGACCATGTAATGAAGCTACATATCAATAACTGTAGCGCTAGTAAAATCAATTTAATGACAGTAACTATAAATAGATAATTTAACTCTTGCATCTCTGTTGGCTTGGTGGCCATGTGGTAGAATGTCCGCTTTATAGCCTGTCAGATGCAGTTCCATTCCTGCATAGGAAAACATTTGCACCTTGAAAGTGATCTTTGATGACATTTTTCAGTTGATTTTAAAAAACTCACATGTCATCTGAATTTGAATTTTGATGTTAATATAGAGTTAGGAAAAAGTGAAACCTGGGAAGAGGTCCTACTTTCAAAAAGTAAAACAAAAATGTGTTTATTCCGCGAAAAGAAGCCATGCTTAATGTATAGTGAGAAGCTCCCTTCAGGTTTGTATATAATGAATACACAATGTCATCTAGAAAGTGGTCAGGTGTAAACAGTTTTATCTTACCTTCATGTAAAATACTATAATTTCACTGGTTAATGACAGGTTAAAAAGTTTCCATGTCACCCCTCCCAGGAGGGTGACAATAAGAAAATATATTACCCGCTGCCACGGTAACTGCCAAACTCTCGACTTAGAAGCAGTATCACTAACAATCATATGACATCATAATATGATGCATGCAGTGCATGGATTTCAAAATTCACTATGTACACATTTATCTTACCAAATTTCACTTCTTTATTTAAACTATTTTTTACATCGATTCATTTGCACAGTCAACCTAAACATAATTAACCATTTTTATTGCAGTTCTAAGCTTTCCAGAATATGATGATTATAAAAATCTGGTCGAGAGGCAGGCACCATTTTGTTTACATGTCATATAGTCGGTAGCGATCTTCAAAAATAACTAAAATGATATTTTGTACATTTAACATGGCAGTAAGATAAATATGTTGTATGCTTCTCCCTTGGGTAATAAGGTCTGATGTACACCATTTTGTACCAGTGTTATCCCTTGCCTACCCTCAAGAGAAGCATACAACTTATAATATCTGGGATTACACTTTCTCAGTAAAGTACAGATTCTGGTACTTTTGTTGAGTAGAGTCCCATCCGGGATTCAAACCCATCCCCTCAGAGTGAGGCTCCTCCTCTTCATCATCACCTTCCTTATCAGATCTGTATTAGAACTGACCTTCAGTAACCCATGCTTGTCGGAAGAGGCGACTAACGGGATCCGGTGGTCAGACTCGCTGACTTGGTTGACACATGTCATCGTATCACAATTGTGTAGATCGATGCTCAAAGATGGATAGTTGGCTGGTTGTTTAACGCTGCACTCAGCAATATTCCATCTATATAATGGGGATCAGTTAGCCTGACCACCGGATATCGGCTGTGGTCTGTTAACCTCCGGTGGACTCTTTAGAAATGATGTGTAACATCGCTTTCGTTGGGATTTCCCCTTTGCTATTTATGGCAGACGACACATTGAGGCACCACAGTAATCATTGTAAACCAAAAGTCACTGTGTTCTTTAATCTGATTGGTTGAAAAACGTGATCAAATGGTATTCGATTCCCAGAAATTCGCTGCGTATTAATACATACAAACATCGCTCACACCATTGTATTGTTACGTCGTCAGCTGTGATGACGTCATTAAAATCATATTGTGACGTAAAGTCCGAATGACGTCACAAATGAGCAGTTCTAGATGCTACCATGGGAGACAGCCGAACGGCCGGCTGATGACATTTCACTGCTGTACCCGTACTCGATGTCAATGAGTGCAGACACAAAAACGTGTGTAGACCTTTTGGTTTACTTTTGTGTTTACAATGTCGATAAACATCATGTGTTGGCCAATTTCCGGGTGTTATTGAGTATTTGATGCACAGGAATATTCCATTTGAAACCTCCGGCTGATGCCGTCGGTTCCAAATGAATTCCGTGCTCAAATATCAATCAATAACGAATTAACACATACCGTCGATTCAAATGGAATATTCCCGTGCTTCATCTACTTTAGTTTCTTCACAAGAAATACAGTGGAAATCGCTTTTAAAGGAATCAACACCCATTCTTGATAAAGTGTCTGCTTTACAATTTTGCTTTCCCTCAATGTAATCACATCTCAGATATGTATCATTTGAATCCATTGTTTTGCAGTGGAATGAACAAAAATCTGAATTTGTAACCAACCTTTTATTTTCCCACAATTGTTGATTTATATACACACTAATGAATGCAAGACACTGCGCGAAAGGTGCAATATCTTACCCAGGTCTGATAATGACTGAATCATCTAACTAACGTTTAAATATCTATCATCTAACACACAGATCTTCATTCGACTCTACACTCTAACACACTCGTGTAGGATCACGAAACATGTTTATATAATAGAAACATGCATGAAAATTTCATGCAGATGTCCTATCCGTAAAGCGTATTGTGTTCACTTGCACAACACATTGTCCAAGAACAAAGACATCTATAACAAACTGAACATCAAATCGCCACCAACTGTGGTACACATGAGCTATGATATTAAATCTTAAAAACAGCATCATCATCGGGCCAGGGTTTTGCCATTGATTGGTTTACGGATATTTTCGCAAAATTGGTTGGTGGTCTCGAAATAAAAATAAAAAATAAATTGAAAGTCTTCAATTATTTTAAGTGTTTGTTTCAACATTTAAGTCAGTAGGATTTTAAAAATAAATCCAAATTTTGATATTGTAAGAGAAGAGTAATTATTGTGAATCATAAGAGTGAATGAGTGAGTTTTCTAAACTCTGTAATAATATCAAAAAGATGCTGACATCACCTGTAGAATGCGGTTACCTCACTATTACAATTAACCTGACATCATTAATAGTCGTTGCTTAGTGACAGTGAAACAATGGTATGGACAATTGTGGACATGCCTCTTTTCCATCTTTGAAGCATCGAATATATAGGATTTATCATGTTTCTAGTGTAATATCTCTGCAAATATCAGCCTTTCTCCATTATGAGATGAGAGGTAACTGATATTGCACAGGAAACATGAAATATCTTCTATATTTAATAAAATGAAAGTACAAACAAGGGACATATTCACTACTGACTTTAATACTGCCCAGTTGTCTTTGACTTGCTGCTTAATTGTTTACAAAATGCAGAAATCAATGACTATTTCTTATTTAGTCCCACTTTTAGGGCATTTTGTACTGCAGGCTGCTTTCCAGTCTGCAGAAATATTTCGCAGAATTGGCGCACAATGGAATACTGTGTTTGCAGTTGCTGGACAACAGCTGAATTGGAATGGGCATCATGGTCGCCACAGTAGTAACACACTGGTGTAAAGCTGTTTGTTACATCTGAAAGTAAAAACATTTGTTTTTCAAGTATATAAATATACAATGAAATATATAATGTCCATTGGCTTGAACAATAACAAAATTTGAACACATTAAACAAAATAATGAAATAGTTGGAGTGTTTCCAACGAGTCGAGTATTTTCTTACTCTATATGAAATATACATACTCAACAGAAAAGTTTAAAGACCAC